CCAAAACAAAAGTCCTTTGAAAACTGAAAAACATGCCTTAAAAGTTTTTGGTTTGTCAGTTTTCCACATGCTGCATGCTTTGAAAATCACTGGGTTCATTGAGTGAAATTAAGTTTTATAAAAGTCATTCTAATGACCAGTTTTTTAGATTCTGGCTGCCAGATCTCTAAAAGGGGGAGCATTTAAAAAATAAAAAATCCTGCTCAATGAATTGACAATTTTGAGCAGTTTACAAAAATGTGAAGGTTAGCAGTCATGGAAGTATTTTCTAAACGTTATGAATGCTTAATACATAACGTACTGGTTGCGAAATAAAAACCTTTAGTTTTTTTAAGTATTTTCATCCTGTAAAATGATCACCCCCATCAATAAACAAGACACATGTTTCCTTCCCCTTAAACAAGGCATATTATTTTCCATCCTTTCCTTATAGCTGGAAGGAAATCACCATAACTCATCATAACAGCATTTTCTGTGTTGCATTATGCAGCTTAAGGGGGAATTCTCTCCTTAATTACAAAAGCAAACTGTATGGATTATCAATAGGTCCTGCAATTAGTGTTATTAGTATTTTCAAGAATAAAAAATAAATAAATCATGTGAAGAGAAGCACGTTATGTGTGAAAAAGGTGCTTTGTGGGTAGACGGATCCAAGCCAGTTAGCCAGGAGGCAGCTAGCCTGCCAATAATTTCTAGTTTGAAAAGATCCATGTATGCTAACAATCCACCAAGGTGGAGTTAGCCAGCACTCACTAGTCTGATGATATTGTATTATGATACATTTATATGAAGAAAAATAAATAAGTATAACATGTTTAATATAAAATTATATGAGAGTTCTCTGAAGCTTTAGAGGTATTTTAGTTTTTTTTTAAGGTTACCATGGCAACTGAGATTGCAGTATAAAAGCTGCAATTGCTGTAAAACAGTCTTCGCAATAAACATCAGGTGAAAAACTTTATGCGTTCTTTGTATAAAAAAAAAAAACAATCTTTAAGCTTAAAGTCTATTAAAGGCTTAAAGGCTACTCTGTAGTTAATTATAAGACTTACCATTAACTTTAAGGTGTGCACCTGAAAACAGTCTCAGCTGGCAATCACATCAAAGATTAGTTTTGCTCCATGGGGGAATATTCTTCTAACGAGTATTATACAGGAACAAAAAGGGGGGAAAAGGGATAAACACTGTCTGAGACAAAAAGGCCAAGCAGTTAACAAGCACTGTGACATTCTGGATGCAATCCACAAAGTGGCTCGTTATATCGATGGATCTCTACTGCATTCCCAAAATGGCTGCCAAATATGTTCAACTGGGGTAGACAAAGTGCCAGGACGGACTCAAGTGCATATTTTTTCTTGGTCTCCTGTCATACTATGGTAAAATACCCTATTTGGAATTATAAATTGAAAAATAAATTTTACTTTTAATGTAATAAAATATTTGATTATTATATTACCAGTGTATGCTTAAATTTGCAACCAAATGTACACTTTGTAAATTGGAAATTATAAAATAAAATAACATTTTACTCAACAAAATACATGAAAAAATAAACAGCACTGCATGATTCAGTGGACTCAGGTGAATTCCACTCATAACCAATATTACATGCTTTCTCCCACCTTTCCCATCCTCTTCCCACTACATACCGTCCACTAAACCACCAAAAAACCTTTTCAGGACAGTTGTATTGAAATGACATAATGAACATATATTTATAAATGTAATTATGTAGGTTATGGGCCATCAGGATAACCTGGTAAAAGCCTGAAGATGGTTGGATGGTGTGGGATTAACAACAACCAGAAATGTGGCATTGCGGAGGCTTCAGAGATATCTCTTGTCTACATGGGCAGCAGTGCCTTTGCTGCGCTTAAAAATTTTTTGGAATACTGACCTGCCATCTGTGTGCATGTACAGTACAAGACGATTGTTTTTTTGTGTTACATGTCTCTTCCAATGAAGCACTCATTACATTAGTGCAGCATTGTATCCTTACACATTTTCACTTGAGTAAACCCAGATAATCAGGTGGGAGAAATGTGCGAAAGAGTGACTAAATCCACTCGAAAACATTTCAACATTGAATGCTACGGACACATCATGTCAGTTTGTTGGTCAATAATAAACTGCTGAATGGGAAGAGGGGGTGACAAGCTACAGAGGACGAGTGAAGGATGGTGAAGCCAAAAGAAAATTGGGATTGATTGCTGAGTGTGAATTAACTGAACACCTCCCTATCCCCCCTTGCCTTCTTCTGAGAAGGTCTACAGTTTATCTGCTGGGTCTCCTTCATATAATAATGAGTTTCCTTGGTCTGCAGACATGCTCTTAAATATTCATTAGTCATGGGTGGGTTTTAGCCGTGACACAGAAAGCGGGCAAATGGCGATGGCTCAAACACTGTGAATATTAATGCACATGAGGAATATATACATATAAATACTCATTAGTGACTTAACTGAGATGGAACTGGGCACCTGATACTCTGGACTACAAACACTCCCAAGGCACATAATGGCTGTCTCTCTTTCAGCAGCTACTGTACACCTCTGTGCTGATAAAACGAGAGTTTTTGACATCAAGCCGTGGTGAGAGCTCACTCACACACAAGACAAGTACCCTCCAATTCATCAAACAATAAAACCTCCAAAAATACAGGCATTAAGTTTATGTGGAGTTTCTTTTCAGATGAAGGGTATTCCATCCAGCATACTCTTTGTGACAATATAATTTTCACTTTACTCACCCACATGCAAGCCTGTCAATCAATTTGCTCCAATTCATAGGACAGATTTATAATTATGCCCAGCTGAAATCTTACATCAAAGTGAAATGTTGCATTTCTGCTGTACACCGGGCTGTACTCTCAGCTCCGTGTTCTGTAAATGTGTCCATTCAGAAAACAAATCATCCAGTGCAGCCACCAATTACATAACCAAGCATATAGGACTGCAGCCCATTTACGTTGTGGAAACATATTCTGAATGAAGGGGGGGAGAGAGCGAGAGAGAGAGAGAGGAAGTGATCACAACAAAAGTGAAAAGGGATGAACGCACAATTATGTGGTAAAAACACACACACACACACACACACACACACACAGATAGAGAGAGACACACAGGTGCACAGCCACAGACGGTGTGTGCGCTGGAGGAAGCTGGACGCAGCGCTGCGCTCTTATGCAGCCTCCCCTCATGTGTCAAACCCGGGACCGGCCTTCTTGTTTGTGTCTACTTGCTTCTTCTCATGGAAACCGCTTCAGTGACCACACCAGAACCAACCTCTGACATGACTAATGTGTTGACACAAAGCTTTATACCTGCGCGCACCACTTCTGGGGCTATAGGCGAGTCTGTGCCTATTAATCAGACCCAGAACGTGTTGTATTGTAGGAACTATCAGCGGCGCTTCTAATAGACACAAGTACATGATGTATTACTCTTTTTATCTGACAAAGCCGAGCGCTTCGGGACAACATCTGTTTGCCACACACACATGCACGCACGCTTTCGGTCCCTTTTTCTCAGCCTCACACACACATACACATGTACACGCGCACGAACAACACGCACGGATAGATGGAGCCCTAAAAGATCAAGACTGACATGTTGCTCAACTCCCTATGGCCCTTTCAGTAGATTTTGGGGAGTCATTGCTCCATTTATTTATTTTTTATTGCGCCAACACTGAACACATACACATATTTTAACTTTATCCAAGAGGTGAAGTACCTCTGTGCTGCCATCTAATAAGCAAGAGCGAAGGAATCACGAGTTGCTCATGAATATTTTGCAACAAAATGTCTCAAAAGGCACGCAGGAAGCGTCTCTTGCAACTTTAATTACACCAGAGCATGGCCCCATATCTAGGCCACCCTTTGCCAAAAAACATCCTCACATCGCAAACATTTTCCACGCACTGTAGGCTGTGAGTAAAAGCGGATTGCGACGATTAAAGTGATCATTCATTTTTGGAGAAACATGGCACCAAAATCCAGTCCGGAGTCCCACTGGATCTAGTTCTGATTTATCTCAGAAACTGAACCTGCGGTATTGTTTTACCTTCACACACAATATTAGCCAGCCTTTCTCCGCCTGCTGAGCATATCTTAATGTAACCCCATCTTATAAACGCCACGCCGTATCGATATTAATTCATAAAAAAATGTAGGCTAGACATCTGTCTGAGTACAAGCGCTGAGCCGCTGATATAGGTAATGATGTATTTCAGACATCGAGCCTATCGTTCCCGGCAAGTTCACCAAACTGGAATATATTTAAGAAGCGGATTTCCAGTGAGAGTACGTTATAGTCGTTATAATTGCAATAAGGAAACGCGTTTCCTCTGATTCAAATAACTGACCTAAAAGCCAAATGCGCACGTCGGCTGCCACAGTTGTTCCGGGCTCACAGTGTGTAAAATGTGAACAAGCAGCACTGCGAGCCTCGCTCAGGTTTTTTTTTTTTTTTTTTTTTTTGGGCTGATTGTGAGAAACAGACCTGTGAACACAGTTTGACCAGAGTATTGTTCTCAAGTGTCCCCCTGCCCCGGCTCACGGGCAAATCCGAAAGTAAAGGGCTAAAGGTAAAGGGGCACGCTTGGAATAATGACAGATGGGAAACTTGCGTCATGCCAGCCAGGGCAGCGCGTTTTTGTAGTCGAATAGAAACGGACAACAAAACCCCCTGGCAGCCAAAAACTGAGCCCCTTAACATGAGGGACTCGTTTCATTTTCTCGTGCGCTGGCGTCACGTTTATTGAATGTCTGAGATCCTCTAAAGAATGAAGTTTCCGATCATGTAGAGCGTAATATTTGGTTGGTAAAGCCAGCTACAACTACATGGAAGTCAGAGGTATTTCATGCATACCACCCTAAAGTCAACGAGCATGTTTTCATCTCTTGTATAGGAAATTCCTCTTATTTCTCCCCTGTGATTACAGCGTTATAGATATTGTAAAAGACCCATCCCTTTTCCTACTTTTCTTAAATTTCTTACCTGCACTTCGAAGCTCGTTTAAAAAGTGGCGACAGCGATTCCAAGGCTCCCCCTGTTTTCCCCCGACGAAGCGCGTATAGTTTTTTTTTAATATGTTCCTTTACTTTGTTTCATTTCTCACTTCCATCTTCTTTTCATCTCATCAATAAACACACGCTGCAGCCTACCTTCATAGAGCAGCTCGGTTCAAGTGTGCCCTCCCATTTTTTAACTATACATCGAGTACTTTGAGGGGTGGTGGAGGAGGAGGAGGAGGAGGAAGGGGGGCAAAGCAGGCAGGCACGCCTTTTCACTTAAAGCTGCTATTGGAAGAACAGTGCACTGTCTTGGGTTGGATCAGAAATCCGTCAACATTATTGTGCCCCAATCGCAGAGCGCACAGTGGGACGGTGGAGCCGGCTCCATTATGGCTCTCTGGAAGTGGTGGGAGTTATAGTAATAGTAGTTGTAGTAGTAGTATCGTTCCTCCTACTCTGGGTGTTTAAGTTTGCTGCTGCCTGAGCAGCAACACAGCAGTTTTATATAAAAGGATGCCACAGTATGCAATGAAAGCTGTAAAACATGCAGGGTTAAAACATGTTCGCAGTGAGAGCGCTCACTTTACCCATCAACACACCTTTTTTATTTGATTTAAACCCATCAATATTGTAATCGTGTGGGCTCCGGCGTCTACTGTTCAAAATATCAGCGTTCACAATTGTGAATGAACTCAAATCTATCCCCAGTCTGGATCAAAAGGACAGGGGAATTGTCAGTTATGTGTCCATCATGCGTCTGAACTTTGCATTGGACGCCGCCTCTGCCAGTACAGCGAGCCAGCTGCGCCGCGGCCTCTCATTGGACAGCGGCGCCGTCAATCATCTCCAGCACCAACAAGCTAGATTGTCGGCCGTGTCTTCTACTTTCTACGCATTTCTATTTTCTCATTTATTTATTTTTTAACGTCCCGAGCTGACCTCGAGTTAGCGAGCAGGGAAAAAAATTCGTGTCGGTTCAGCCGGCCAATCAGATTTAGTAGAGCGATTGCTTTTTCCTCTTGTTGTTGTTGATTTTTTTTTTTTTTTTTTTTTTTTGTCATTATCCAACGCCTTGAGATATATTCTGGCTGGCATAGAATAAAGCAGTAATGGGTCATGTGGGATCCCCCCTGCACCCACCGCCTTAATGCCCCCTCCCTGTCTAGACAGTGACAGGTGTGCGTGTGTGCGCACACGCTTGTCTGTAGTTCAGATCAGAATAATGGACCAGGCTGAGGGTTGTGTCTAATAGCTACTTCCAATATATAATGAATGTGTGTGAGTCGTGTGTATTACAGCCCATAGGCAGCAGGACGGCCAGTGGAAGCAGCCCTGCGACTCAAAAGACAAGCTTTTACTGACAAAGAGGTCAACTAAGGTTACGCTCGTCCAGCCCTCTCTGACACACCGTCCTGCCTCCTGAGCTGTTGCACGTACAGGGTGTGAAAAACTCTATTTTTGAAGAGCTGCACTCTTGAACTTTGCTTTCATAGCCCCCCGTGCTGTAACAGGGGAGAGAGACCGGTGTTGCTTCAAACAATCGCTATCTCTCAGGCTGGGGAAGGCTCCGTACGGATATTGTTGTGTGAGTACCGTAGTGAGCACCCAGGGCACTCGGTTGACTGTGCGCGCCATCTGCAGGACTGCGATGTGGATTAATACCGCGGGTTCAACGGAGGACACCCTTCCGTCACTGCTTTGACCTACATTAACCAGGAACACCGTAGAAACACCGCCACCGGCCTTAATGCGCCGCTTTGCAATCCGACAGTGAAGCATGTTTTAAACAAATGCTTTTAATTTTCATTAAAAGTCAGAATTATGTCGTTTTTAGGCTCATAAACGGAACGTCCTGAAACGGCAGATCCGTGTGGTGCACGCCTTCCCGGAACAGTGTGGTAGATATTTTGGCTCGATTAACACGGCTCAACCGGCAGCACGTGCAGAGAGGATTCAACGTAGAGAACATTTTGTTTTATTGGAGGCACCGCATTGTGCATTGCATGTTGGACTGGACTTGTCCTTTGAGGCAGCGCATTGTTGTCACCATTAAGAAAAATCTCATCTAAAATATGCTGTTTTTAATGTGAGGACACATTAGTCACTGCGTGTGCTTTTTATATTTTATAAATGAGTGCAATAAAAACACGTTCAATTCAAATTGCAAAACAATTACACCCGTTTTCTGTAATTGGGCCATATTAATAACAAATTAAATATAAATATATGGGAAAATGCAACAACAAAAAATAGGTTATAAATATAAAGTGAAAATATAGGGTACTTGTTGTGCTTGATATTAATTAATATAAACTTTTAAACTTCTGTAGCTGCCACATCTTAGAACCTCTGTCAAAAAAAAAAAAGACAAATATAATGATTAGAAAAAACAAAAGTCCACTTTTGTTGACAAGGCCTTCCCTGAGTGTTATGAACAGACTGGAACTCTGCCACAATTTCTATTATAAATGGTGCTGACAATAAAAACTGATTTCAAATATTACAAAAATAATATTTGCAGTGTTTCCTAATTGGTTAACAAGAATAAATAAATAAATAAAAATGAAAAGAGGTAAAAGGTCGTACTCAAGCGCAGGTATGAATCAGATCTGAATACTGGCTTGAAACACAGGGTTAAAGGACGGGCTGATAATCAAGTTCAAGGTCATCCTAAAACAAAACAGAGAAGAAGAAAAAAGAGTTTTCGATGAAATGTTTTCCATCTTAAAAAGTTCAGTGAAGCACAACGTTCAGATGTTGCACTATAAAATACATTTCTGAGTGAATAATACTTTGTGGCTGTTTAAATACCAAACCTTGCTACTTGAACCTACTATACAAGACTGTTGATTACCATTTACTGACACAATGACTCAAGTAAATACATGTGTAAAGATCCTGCTGGTGTTTATTCATAACCGATGAATGTCTGATTAACTTTCCCACCAATAAAAAAACAAAAATAAGAATTCATACAACAAAAAGCCACATAGTTTAGAGAAAAAAATAGATTTGACTAGATTTTTATTTGATTAAATCTAAACTTTATCCTCTGCAACCCGCAACATTACATAAAGAAAAAACGGACTTTTTTTTAGAAGACTTTTTACATTTTTATGTGATTGATATTTTCCATGAAATACTGAATTCCTGCCAGTTAAAATGTTCTCTGTGGTAAAACAGGAACAGACTGTAATTTCACATTAGCAGGTCCAGTCATGTCACACACAGCTTTAAATATAACCAACAGAGGGCAGCAATCTGACTTGCCTTTATGCACATATATTTATTTATTTGTTTATCCATTCATTCATTTATTTATTCTGCTTAAATTCTATCCTTCCTTTTTCAAATGCAGTGAGTGCCGTAGATTTTCCTCCGTTTGCAAACAACCTCTGATGGTCCGGAGGTGTCTAGAATTTCATAGTAATATGAAGTTAGATGATAATGTTGTGCAAACATTGGTTCCTTTGCCAAATCTATCAGCACACACACACACACACACAAAAAAGGTTTTACTCTAAACTAACAAAGTTGGAAGTTTGCAAGCTATTTAGGGCTAAAATGAGACAAGGCAATTTATTACCAGTACCCTCAGCTTGAATATAAATAATTATAGCCCCTGTATTAGCTACAGCGTCATTGTCCACTCATAGGTCTCGTCCTTGTGTATCTTGTTCTGTTTTAATATTTTCCACTAAATGAATGGCCCACAGGCTATTCATTTTACAGACAATCTAGACAACTCATTACAAACTGACAATGTGCAAACTGGATGGGACAGGTGGAATTAGTTTTCAATTTAATTTGCAGTGCAATTAAATGTTATTTCTGTCCAAAATGTACCTTCATACACCTATTTTGTTTTAATATGTGAGAAGGAACAGGGCTTTTCTCAGGATTGCTCGATTTACTCTTTCTCAATGTTCTTCTATCCTCCAGGTGTTTGCACGCTAAACTGTTTGCAAGCTTTCATAAATTTAGGGCCACGATTAACGATTATTTTCATTGTCGTCTAATCTGTTCTCAATTAGTTGTTTGGTTCATAAAATGCCAGAAAAGGGTGAAAAATGTTTTTCCCAAAAGCCCAAAGTGACGTCCTTAAATGTCTTGTTTTGTACACAACCCAAATCATGGACTAAAGAAACCAGGAAATATTCATATTTGGAAAGCTGGAATCAGATAATTTGGACACAAAAACTCAGGACTCAAAACAATTAATTATCAAAATAAGTAGAGGTTAATTTAATAGCTGACAACGAATCATTTAATCAGCTAATCGCTGCAGTTTGATATGAGTGGCAGTTCCACTCCAGAAATCAGTTTGGGTCCAGGTTTAGTTTTTGATAGCTATAGATAGACAGAACTAACACTAGAAGTATTACGGAATAAAAATACAAAGTTAAAATCATATAACTAATTACATTATATAACACATCAGCTGGCCCAAAATACCACTACCTTATATGTGTGCAGTCCACTAAGTCACTGAGGTGGCTCCATATTTGGTCACATGTCAAGTGCTGAACATCTTTACCATCTTTGTATATGAAACCCTCTTTTACAAGACCAGGAAAGACTCAAGCATTCAACATGTGTGGAAGTGTGGTATGGCTCTCTAATCAGCCCTGTTCAGCGTCAAGCACACTTGACCAAAACAGGGCCCGCACCTTTTTTATTAAACCAGCCATAAAGGTCAAACCACACTGCACTTTTATCCTTCCATAACATGCCATAACGTCACCACAGAACATCCTTGTTCTGTGTTATCTCAGTTTAGATGTGTTTTCCTTTCTACTGTATGATGTTTGACCCCAGATAAGAGTCAACACCCATCTGTGAATTCCAGTGTAGCATCAGGACATAAATAAGTGAGACACACCTTGATACTCAGAAGTTGGATCCTTAACTGGTATGATGACTCAGAATGATTGACAAGTTGAAACATAGTATGTGTGCATACATGCCATTATATTGTTTATTGTTTATTGTCACTGATGCCATCTAATGGAACCTTTTTCAACGCAGGTGTCTACAATGACAACATGACCTCATTAACACCGTCAGTAGTTACATTTGAGTGTATCTGAGCATGCATTAAGAAACAAATTGTTGTTGTGTGGGCAGCAGCTGCAAATGTCCTCTTCCTCATACTTCACATTGCACACATCTTCAGTTATAAAGAAACAACAGCAGAGACGACATCTTTTTCTTGTTTTCCT